ATTCTTTGGGCTCACTATAAAATTTTGGGATTCTGCTATTGTTTGGGATATAATAATATAAGGAAATAAATCTTTTAAAATGTGATAATATAAGAAAATATTTTTAATTTTTGGGGATTCTGATATTGTTTGGGATCTAATAATTATAAGGAAATAAAATTTTTAAGAAAGTAACCATATATAAAGAATATATATATATATATATATATATATATATATATATATATATTTGGATTATTGGTTTAGGGGACTAAGCCTTGATAATATCTGTTAAGTCCCCAATCAAGAGTGAAGGCTATAATGATAACTCTGATATAGATTGAGAACAATTATTTAATAATCTCGATCATTTCATAAGCGGATGTTGAGAGAGAAAAATCTAAAGTGTATCTTAGTCCTTTGCCATGCTAATTGATATTAAAAGTTTTAATTAGCACCGAAGTCTTATGTTAGATCTCATTTTTCCAAGGTGCATAAGAATATGCAAGTTTCAGAAAGAACTAAATTTATAAATTAAGGGACTATCTAGGTTCGCTTACCAGAAGCTAGTTGTTCTGTTATATAACTTCATATATATTGCTTATATATGCTTGTTCTATGGTTATCTTTTTTTATTTGCATAAGAATAGGTTCCTGCCTCTCATAAATTAAATAGCTGATGATTTTTGTCTTCAATAGTGATCATCTAATAGCTTGTCATCTTTGACGAAAGAGTTGTGCTGCAGCTAGCTAGCTAACTTCAAATCCGGATGTGAAAGATATTGGGTATATATAGCGGGTATGCAACACTACTCAACAACTTAGGCTTTTGACGGAGAATGTAAGGGCCCGACCTGTTACACATATACAGTACTACATTGAGCTACATAACCTAAGTTTTGATCTTAGATTGTGGTTAAAGTAGTTTTTCTTTTCCTTTTGTGTTGTTAATTTATTTTAGGTAAAGAAAATACTAGTTTCATGATGAAGTAGCCACCTTAAAAGTAGGGGAAAAAATTTAGCCACCTTAAATCATTGTGCTAGCTGCTCCCACATAAAATAGTTTAGTATGTTTTGAGTCCTAATAAGTGTGAACTCCATGATTGAGACCTTGAAAATGCAAAATCTTTTTTTCATCTGCTTCCGTAGTATTAGAAAGCTTTTAATTTTGAAGTATTTATTACATTAGGCTTTCTTTTGTAATTATTGTTACCGTGCATATATATAAGCTAGCCTCGAGTACTGCGTATGGTTCTAAGCATTTGGATGATTTTATATGATGCTTGAATTTTCAAAGAGCTGGAGTCAATATCCATTGGAAAAAATCTAGTGTGAATCTGCATCAAAGAGGTAAATCACATAAGGTAGGAGGATACAGGAAGTTTGTTGAATGAGTAGATAGTTAAGTTCTCTGAGGCAAGTCCAGTTATATTTATATTGAATACTCGATGCCCTCAATAATGATGATCGAGCTACTTAATTACAGAAACAGAGCTCCAATTTGGAGTGTGATGAGTTCGTGTTTTGGTGAAAGAAATGATTATAGAAGAATTTGAATAGCGCGCTGTGTATAAACATGTCATTTTTCTAGTGAGTAATGCTAGCTACTTGAAAGTGAAATTCAATGTTGGTAAAAGCAGAATAAGATATATTGTGATGTTGCTAGTTACAATACACAAAGTTTTGAGTATATATATATTTTGCTTAGAGAACACAGGTTTGCAAGAAATACATGGACATGTATGGTTACGCATTCAGCTGAGAATTGGAGAAGATCTGCTTTGAGTGGAATCTGACTTCACAGAGAGAGAGGTAGGAATTAAGTCTCACACCCAAAACTTTGTACCCGGACAGAAAGGAGTTGTTCTGGTTATGCTGAGGTGGAAAACAAAAACGTTATTAATTAAAAATTTAAAATAGGTTTAGGTATTTTTTTGGTAGAAGATATTTTTATGACTAATACTGGGGTCCTTTACTTGGATTCTCTGTGATTCCTAAAATCACCTAATGTGCAGTGTACGTGGTATATGTTTCTCACTTATGATAAAGAACTGATTGAAATTTTCGTCAATATACCTGCATGATTTAGAGATTAATTCTGGCTTTTCATGTGTATCCATAAACTCAAAGAAAGGAGAATTTCAGATTAGATACAGAGACCTACCAATGGCAATGGATACTAGACCGACATGATTAGCGCTTCATTTTAGTCTGATTATGAAAGATTGTGCGACATTTACATCTGTGTGTGACATTCTTGAATAGGAGCATATTTTTGGTAGGTTTTGATTGAATATATATTAATCCCAAGATGGGCTATTTAATTTAATTTCTACACCCTAAAGTGGTAGGGTTTAAGTTTTCTCTAAATTTCACTGTCTTTTGAGAAATCTGCTACCATGACACATGCTGCTCTGATGGACTTATGCCTGGTACACTTTTCGACATTACTTAAGCCATTATTAATAAATACTAATAAATACAGTTTGCCTAAACATCACTAAATATTGGAAGGAATTATTAATTTTTTTTTGTTGGAAGGATTTCAAAATAAATTTCCAGGGTCCTGTCTTTTTTTCTTTTATTTTTTAGTAGGTAAACCACACACATCCCCTGCCCGGCCCATTGCATGTTCCATTTGGAATTTGAACCTTCACCTCTCATAAACACAGTTTGCTTGCTAGAGCATGCACATATATATATATATTGGATACAAAGCTAGAGCATATGATACTTGGTTGATCTATATGTATGCCACTTTCATGGTTTTGTTGATGAACAACTTTATCCTTAACTTGCAAAGAATTGTAATAATTTAAAAAAAAAAAAAAAAAATTTAAATCCCATGCACAAATATAAGATTATCTATAGGCCTATTATCATCTTTTAAAGGGTCAGTGACCTAACGGTATTAGGTCCTTACTTTTTAAAAAGATATTAAGGATTCAAGCCTCCATAGAAGCATGTGTGCATGAATATCTTATATATATCTTATTAAGAGAGAGAGCTAGAGAGAGGAAGTATGTGAATAAAATATGCAGTCTTCGCAGGTAAATGCAGTACTCTATTATCACTGGTTCCAAGTTTAAACTTTTATATGTCAGACTACCTCTCTCAAGAAAGTAAATTTTACAAGAAGGAGAAAGAATATATATATATATATATATATATTGCATCACTTACCTGCTGCTGCATGAACTGGAAGTCTGGAAATACTTTGACTTTAGCTCTCAACAAGGGAAAATGGCTGTCTTGAAACAATGTAAACATGGTAAAACTACATAATTTGAGAAATAGACAGTGAAGAATGTCATACCCAAACATTCATATATCTGTTAAACAAAAAAGTACACGCTGAAAGAGGTTTTAGTTTTATAATTTTTTTTTTCTTTTCTAATCATCATTTTTCTCAAAAGCCAAACAAGACATGGTAAGTAAAAACGTGTCGATTGATGAATGGTCCATGCACGATCAATTCCCTTCAAAGTCATTGGAAAAGGTAATACAATGAGAGCAGTAGCTTAATGGTGAAAAGCTGCAACATTAATATTATTCACTGTACACTGCATGAAAAATAGTGAAGAAAAAGGGTCAGGAGAGAGAGATGCATGAGATCATCAGCGATGTTACTAATATATATATATATATATACACACACACACATATATGTTTGTGTGTGTAAATGGCAAGGCCAAGTGGCCTAGATTGCCCCGCAGGAAGCTGCTAGTTGGTCGATAAATTGTTTGACCATTTGTAGGCCAGGGTGGTTATATTAAAAAAAAAGGTACTGTCAAGAATCTCAGACTGCAGGCAGGCTTGCTAATTGCGTGTTGAAGTAGTTGAAAAGGACTACTGGGACTCCTCTACTCCTTTATATGGAGAAATCAATAAATCTTACAATCCCCTATCAATTTGTGTATGTATATATATTTTGTAAATACATTCACACCTATATTGACAACATTTTAACAACTCTCTTAAAAGTGAAAAAGTTGTCCAGAATATGCAATTTTAATTAATTTAGAACTTGTACAATGCACTTCTCTTTTATGCAATTAATATGCATGTAATGTACGCACACTTCCACTTTTCTTGATCTTTCTAAGATTTGATATGTACTTATAGTCAAAATAACAAATCTAATCCTCCTTATTTTAAAGGATCTTCTGTGATGCATCTACCCAATAAATTTCTAGGTGTGTAGTAGTACCTAAATGAGGGTGACAAGATGACTCAGTTTAATCATCAGCAATTCAATTGACCTTAAATAGTGGTTACTTAGGGTCTATTTGACTTTCGTATTTTGTGTTGTGTTGTAAATTGGTGTATTATAACAAAACAAAACAACTCAATACGCAACCCTTTTTTGTTACTGAATCATGCAATACCTTTTTAGCAAACATGTTTTGGTGTTATTGTTTCAAAAAAAATTGCAACAAATTTTTATTATCAAACATACTTCCTATCACAAATGAACATACTCCATGATAAATATATAATTTTTATTTTAAAAAAAAAAAAACAAAAATGCAAAACGGTTTCCAAATAACCCAAAGATAATGGAAAAAACTGATAGTTTAATTTGATAAGATAATTTTTAAAGTTATTTTTACCATTAAACCCATCACTACTTTATCACATATTTATGATGGGTGATGTAATAATTTAAAACTTCTATAATAGGTTCAGTCATCTTCTCTCCTATCTTTCGCCCATATTTGAGATGAAAATTTGTAAAAAAAAGATGATTCATCCTTCTATTATACTTACTTTCCTTATATCATCTCTACCTAAAAAAAAAAAAAGTAGATTTGTTCCTCCCTTTTTATTTTTCTTCCGGTTCTCTTCTTCTCTAGCCATTTGGGCTAAAAGAGGCCCATAATAAACCTTGCGATATCAAGTAGCGTATCCATTTCCGATTTCCATGTGTTGGTAGGTTTTCCTTTACTAGGGCCCAAGGCCCAAAATTTGGCCCAATAAAACAACGACGTATTTGCTTCTTACTTGCTCTAAATTCGTCTTCATTTCTTGTCTAGAAAGCCAAACGCATCGCCGCTATAAAGTTCAAGACAGAAAAGAGTCCAACAGAGAGAAATCAACAAGAGAGACATAACAATGGAAACTCCAAAGACAATAGCGCACGAAATCGGAGGAGTCCGAAACGATGCACTTCGTTTTGGAATTCAAGGCGTCAAGAGTGAAATCGTTGAATCTCATCCCCTCCAATCTGCCTATCACTCTGTACTTTCTCTCTCTAAAACTCCTCTCTATATAGATGGGTATATATTTATGTATAGGTCGTCTAATTTGTATGCTTCTCTATATGTATTTTTGATTAGGCAAGGAAGACGCAGGAGGAGATGAAGAGAAGGATCCTCGCGAACACGTACGGGTCGGCTTTTCCGATGAAGATGGAACTGGATCGTCAAATTCTTTCTAGGTATTAGTTTTGAGTCTCCTCGTTTTAATGTGTAACCACTTGGTCATTGTTTTGTTGTTTGATACGATTTAATTTCTTGCAAAATTAGAGAACCCTACTGGGACTTTGGCTTTGAATTAGGGTTTTTTTCTTTTGGGCTTTTATTCTCTGTGAACTGGTGAAATTGATACTTTTGACTGGTTGCTGATAAAGTGTAGGAGAAGATGAAATTGGAATATTGAAAATCTGGGATTTCATAGTAATTGGGATTTCTGAAAACATAAAACAATTCTACTGATTCAAAAATTAGTTGGCATCTGTCATGAGGGCTATGAGCTTTCCTCCTATTAGTACATTTAGAGCGCTAAGCTGGAGACACGCACATAGCCTGGTGTTGGGCACATTGTAACTTCCTTGAAAAAATTCATTAAAATGCATTAGTCATACTTGCTGGTCGAAGTTAAGGATAGTTTAGTGATTGCTCCAGCAAAACTTAGTCACAGTAGAGAGGATAAATATTTAACAAGCATGCATTACCTTTTTTTTTAATTGAAATTTGATACATTGAATTGTCATACAGTCCTCTATTTAACGCCAAATTTTAGTTGGTTAACCCAATTTCATGAGTTGATGTTTGTCACAATATTCGTGCACTACCAAATTAAAATGGAGGTGGAGGTGCTCATAAATACCTTACATTAGGTTTCCTTCATGATAGGGTTTTTGGTATGATTTTTTTTTTTTTTTTTTTTTGCCATTTTGTTTTCTTGGGAAGTCGATGGGAGGTTTAAGTTTGAGTTGGAGGAAGGTTGCACAATATCCCAGGTTCCCTCTTTGTTGCATTAGCTTATTGGGTTTGCCACTTCTATAATGTCAAGTAATAATGTTTACCTCTGATGTTAGATATTTGAAAGAGTCATGATATGGAGTCCGACTGTTTTGATGCGAGTGAGGGTTGGCGTCATGATGACGTCAGCCACATTACAGATGTCAAACAGTCAGATTAGTCCGACTATCGGACCACAAATCATTTTCCTATTTGAAGAAGCAAACAGATAAGTGGTTAATGTACTATTGTACTGAAGAAACAATCAAGTTTTTGTTTGCAGTTTTAGTAATTCTTATCATATATTCAACGTCATTTCATATGTGTGCATACAGGGAAGTGAATTTTGACATGTAACCAAAATGCGCAAATAAAACATTGGGTTAACCAAATTTGATTTGGCATGTATAAGTAGGCTTGTCAACGGATTGGATTTGATCCAAATCCAGAATGAATATTTAATAATCCTTTAATGATTTGAATTCGGTAATCTATTAAAAGTTTAAACTTACAAATCAGATATCAATAATGGTCAATCTAATCCGATAGTAATACGATTGACCAAATATAATATATAATACTCAAACACCAAATTACATCTCTTAAGAAATTGGGTTAGTGCATTGAAAATCCGATAAACAGGAAAAACCGGATATGGATTCAATAACAGATAATCTGGGATAGGATTACATATATTCCTTATCGGATTAAGACCATATATCAAGATTCAAGCCAAATCCGATCTGATTCGTCGACAGATTTATGTATAAGAACTCCAAAATAGATTTCTGACATTTTCTTTTTTGTGTAACTAGGAATAGAAGCTGATCAAGCTAGGAGAGTCACTTAGTTTTGGCACCTTAAATAATGGAGAGTAGATGGTAACTAAGTTTTTTTAACTTTTTGATTAATTTAAATAGTTAAATATAAGGGGCTCTACAATTTCTCCTTTAATTTAAAATGGAGATTGAATTTGGAAGTAGCCATCCTTCATAGCTGGGGCAGTGGGAGGAGTGGGCGAGGGGAGGCCATCGACACTTTGGCAACCTTATTTATTGGCTGTCAACTATATTCTCTCCATTTTTTCTTGTCAGGGTCTTAAAAATATACATCTAAAGTACTGCATGTGCCACATGTTTGCTCTTTTCTTGTTCCATCCAAGGCCCAAGCTGATTGGATTTATGCAAGTAGCAATTAAGCTAGTGGTATCTGGTCTCTCATTTGGCTTAATTTAGGATTTTATTTGCATGTTGAAGGTTATGTTGCTCAGACACTTCAAAAGCTGGTAAGCGCCCATGTCCGACACACATAGCTAGGTGTAACAAGGGTCATTGGTCCCAACCCCGTAACACTAGGGCATGCATTTGAGATATGTATCGGACACTTTTGGTTGGACATGCACCTAAAGACCATGTCTAGTAAATCAATTTTATTATATTATTGCTTCAGAATGAGTGAAATGCCTGTATCGAACACTGTGTTACATAAAGACATTATTTTACTCTAGAAAATAAAATAAAAAATTATTTTACTCTTAGCAATTTTATTATTTTATTGCTTCAAAACATGTTCGTGTTTCTTTTTGTTTGATATTTTGACACATGTCTATATAACATAGGTTGAAGGTAATACATTCAGCATTTTTGGGTGTTGAAAGAAAATACCAAAGTGACGGAGGCATATTACTAGTTTACCTATTTAAAATAAACAAATATATAAAGAAAATTATTCTTTGGAGGATGCGCATCTAGGGATTATTTTGTTTCTTATTCATGAGGTCTTTTTAAACAATAAGTTTAATGTGAAAATCGTTTGAGTTTCATTTTGATTAAGGCCATGCTAGAATTTCAATGAACAATATTAGGTGAACATATTTGGAGGATACAACGAATGCTATACTGGGAATTATTCTAGAACTAAAATGCTTTTTTTGTATAAAATTTAAAAGTACTGGTGACTGGTTTTAATCTGATGTCACTATTAAATACACCGTCTGCTGCTCTTTGCCATTTTTGAAGAAAGCGAGATTCCAAGCCATGGTATTCGTTTCAATCCAAGGCCCCATTTGAGTTATCCTAGCATTTGATTTAGCATTTTTTGAGTTATGCTAGCATCTTGCGTCTCCATGGGTGAGATAGTTGTTATAAAGCAAGTCCATTATTGAGACGTCTCTTACTGTGAATTCGGGCTCTTAGGCCTTGGTTTGAGAGTGCCCCCTTGCAGCCTTTTGATATCGGGATACATGATTATGAGCTCTTTTACTTCTTGTTTTCAGAACTAATTTCCATTTCAAAATTTTCCTATTGGTAACAATGAAAGTTCTTTAAATGCAGCGCTTCTTGTGTTGTTTCTATATTTTCATGAACTTGGCTCTTCACATAACATGGAGAAGTAATTTGAATAGTTACTTGAGAATAGCCCATCTTGAGAAAAAAATTCAAACTTGCTCCACGGACATGCCTTTTATGTTGTATTCATATTTTTCGATTTTGATAAAACTGATTTAAAAGGCTTCAATCTGGGCCTTATGATGTCAGTCTTAAATATTGGTAGCAGGAAATCGTGTATGCTTAATTTGCTATTCTTGATTCTATGATTACATTAGGCACTTGGGCACTCACTTCTGCAAATTTTCCATTAACAGTTGTTTATTTTATGAAATTGCAGATGTGCGAGCATGTGCACATGCGCCCTATGGGATTGGAACGATAGATTTGTTATGTCAATTATAATATTGCATTAGTAATTATGGTAAATATGTACAGCATGCTTTTGTTTTAATGAATTCAGCATTCATATGAATATACCATGTAGATTGTTACAATTGTCATTATTGTCATATCCATGTACAGTGAGTTTCAACTTTTGACCTGAACTTCAATATTTTTTCCTTAGCTTGTTTATATGCTAATTTAATTGTAATAATGTGGGAAACAATTTTTTTTTTTTGCTTAGTTGTGCATAAGTTGGATTTAAATTCTCCTCACATTTTTTCCCCTTAAATATTTGCAGATTTCAAAGGCCTGCAGGAGCTATACCATCTTCTATGCTAGGATTGGAGGCTATGACAGGAGATTTGGAAGACTTTGGTTTTGAAGATTACCTCAACGGTAACAAAATACTAATTAAATACAAATCAAATATTAATTTAATTTTTATAGTTCCTTATTAAATATTTTTGCATCAGTTTTTTTTTTTTTTTTGGAATAATTAAGTGTTAGGATTCTCTCCTTTACTGCATATATGTCCTTCAAATTATTCATTGAACTTATCTTACAATGGTTGGTAAACTTGTTTCTACTTTTCAAAATTTTATACTAGACTTTTACTCCTGAATACCAGCCAAATTTGCCTTAATAAGTTCTGAGTTGAAATTTATTTAGTTAGCCATTTATCGAGATGTTTGTAAATAACGATAATATATACATATCTGTGTTTGTGTATATATGAATAGTTTTCCTTTTACGTAGGTAAAATTCTAATTCGACTAGTAGTATGTGGCTTAGTCGAGATATTTTCTCAATTGTTTGGACATTGAAAGAGGTCAAATCAAATTTTCAAATTTTGTACTCTGTTCAATTTGGTCCCACATGCTAAGTTGGTGGTGAATTTTAGATACATGCTGATAGACAAATTTTTGTTCATATTTCTTTATTTGATGCTTCTTGCAGACCCACGTGAGTCTGAAAGTTTCCGACCTGTGGACATGCATCACGGAATCGAAGTTCGTCTTTCCCTCTCCAAGGGACCAGTTTGCCCCAGTTTCATTTGAAGAATTTCATCAATGCTTCCAAAAGCCTATTATGTGATGGTGCTTCATGAATATTTGTTTTCTTTTTCTGAATTCAAATGTATAAGACAAGTAAAAATGAATGCCTCCCGTGTGCCTGTACTTCTATTAACTTGCAACTATTTACAGTTGGGACTTTTTTTTTCCCCTCTTCGGGAACTTATGAGCTTGTTAGGCTTCGACAGGATAAAAATCATATGGAGGATCGTTTGAGTCGCCTCTTTGATTGTTCGGGTTTTCATAATAATGTTGTGAATACCAGAATGGTGACAAGAAAGACCAAATATAAACTCAAACTGGTATATACATATACATATATATATACATATACATATATATATTGGGATTACTTTGTTTTATTAACCCAAACGACGGGGAGGGGCCTTTTGAATCACTTTTCTTAGTTACATGCAATGTTTGGTTTTGAAACTAAATGGCAGGGGAGCGGCGTTTCAGTTGACATCACTGTTGAGATGAGTGTAAGTGGAAAAAGGTGCTAATGGTGGCATTCCAATTTACATTATAAAACACAAATTTAAAAATAAATTTTAATTTAAGGAATAGGGTTGGAAAAGGAAGAAGAAAAGGTAAATACCAATCACGCCGCTGCTATCTGCTATTATTTGAGAAACACTCTCCCCGGGGAGCTCGTGTTTGCCTTGCACCCTCCCCCTCCTCTCTAATCCTTAATATTCTTTGCCCTTGCCCTCCATGCAAGGAAGAGGCTAGAAAGTTGCAGCAGATTACAATTTTTGTTTGCCTTTTTAATGACAAACAATTAAAGTTGATGATAGCCACCTTTTGAGATGCTCAAGAAAATCAAGTTTTGTCCAATAGCCAAGAGATTCAAAAAATGGAAACACAATATCTCACAACGCCCTACCTGTTTCCGGATTAAAACTATAGCTGTTATCGGATGCCGTGTTTTTGTCAACCGTTTACGGATTAAAACTATAGCTGTTATAAGATGCCGTGTTTTTGTCAATTTTCCTGTATTTATTTGGAAATCAAAGAACCAGTAAGGGGAAATTTTATTGAATTTCAATTCTGTTATATCCAAATCTTTACCACTGCAAGCCCCACAACTCAAATGTAAAATAAGATTCTCTGTCACTGCTGAATCTGGAGAGACACAGGCTTGTGCCTATTCGATTGACCCTCTGGGAAGGTCACCTTTGCCGTTCACAGGAGAAACAACCGCAAGAATAACAAAACCACCCAGGGCAACAATCAAGATGCCCAATGAGTTCACCAACAATGCTTCAGTGGAATAGCGTGATATTACCTTGTTGGTTTGAAGGAAGGTGGCTTTTTCTAAAATACCAGTGGTGCAAGTTGCAACAGCGAGGGCATAGATATAGACCCCAAAGAATACATGCCATGGCAACAGGGTTGCCCTGCCGTTTCTTGAACCACCTGGATACCAAAAGGTCACAAATCCAGAAGCCCACTGTTCAGATGAAACAGTAGAAAAAAAGGTTAGATTCAAGTTTTTTTTTATAATGAATTTCTTAATTTTATTATAAGAATGATGTGATTTTGGAAGCAAGTGGTTATCCTGGGAAAAAAAATATATTAAGAGAGAGAGAGATACAGGTAAGAGGGCATTTTAAGAAAATGACCTGGATGCTAAATAGAAATACACAAGCTAAGCCTAGCCATGAATGCAGGCTGTAGAAATTGTCGATGCCTTTATCGTTGTGAAATTTCAAAGCCGCCCATACGCCAATTATGCTTAAACAGAAAGCCAGGAATTGCAGCATTAGATGAACCAACTTTTTATAGCTCTTTGTTCCTGACACTGTCTTGTATGCTAGCATGGCTGCATAAATCCGAACCAAGCATTTAAAATAGGTTTCTAAAAAGTACCAGCAGGCAGAAAGATAATTTGAAATCAAATTTACAGACCAGTTTTGGAACTTATAACTCAAATCCATAACTCATGTTTTACTTCTGCGTTTTGAGGGCACATATAAATCGTTTATATATTACTGCAACACTTCCTCGGGTGTACAAAGCCAGTGAGCAACACAACAAAATAAGCATTGTATTCTCACAGAAAAGAAATCAAGGAAACACGTATTTAAACTAAAAAAAAAAAAAAAAAAAGAAGAAGAAGAAGAATTAGAATAAGCTCTTAGGGCATAATTAGCAAAGAGAACTTAATTTGTTTAAATATATGCCGAGTATAAGTGTCCCATTTTTTTTATATTTGCATTGACCAAAAATAACAATCAATTTTAAGATCATCAGAACAATTCTCGTATTCAAGTAAAAGCAATATTAAGGATAAACACATGAAAGCAATAAATAAACAAATATAACAATCTGTTCTCAGTGTTATCAAAGGTCCAAGGCGCACTAAGGCTCTAAAGGTCCTCTGGATCCTAGGCGCCAGGTGAGGTGAGCGCCTGAGTTAAGTGAGGCGCATAATGGAAGAATATTAAATTACTACTGTATTAAAGTATTCATATTCCATATAAAAAGCGCAAATGTTGTCAAAGGCACCACTGGGCACACAACAGGCGCAAGTCAATGTTGTCAAAGGCACCACTGGGCACACAACAGGCGCAAGTCTTGCGCCTGGAGCCTAGATGCCTTTGACAACAATGTCTATTCTCAAATTTTTTTGAATGCTGAACTTGATTTGAATTTATAAAAATGCACCTGTGTTCTCGGGAATCTCTATCAATTAAAGGTAGCTAGACAAAAGCTATTTGATCCATGAAGGAGATCATTTTAAAAACATTTAGACTCCATTAATCTAAGGGCAACTAAATTCAGGAAATATTTCTACAAAAGCCACACTAGTTCTTCGTAACCAGCACATAGGTTGGACACATGATAAAGTGGCTTTCTTTCCAAATAAAAGTTATTTTTCCTGGAAATAGGTTAGCTTGTCAAAATTCATTCAACACCGTACGAAAATACTTCAAAATGTATCCTTGTTCTTAATACCAAATCTTTTTCCCCCTAAGTTATGTAGAGCCTTATTTTTTTTTTTTATAAGTAATAATTGAATTAAAAAGGCGTTCAAGAGGGGAACGCATCCCTTATACAAAACTTATGTAGAGCCTTATAAAAAAAACATATATAATAGAGGACCATAACCTTTAATAATATATGGTAAAATTGCTGAAGAATGATACGCCTTTAAGCTTCCTGTAATAAGGTCTAGAACCACCACTCGTTCAAGTGTGCTAAAAATCTCCAAACTAGAAAACGGAGAGAAATTGTATTGCAATCAAGAATATAGTGAAACTTCATCAAATCACAAACGTCAATAATATGTCAAGCAGTTCATCACATGCCATATAAAAAAAGGTCTAAAGAAGCAAAAGGAATGGTAAGGTAGAGAGGAAAAGATAATATAGCTGATAGCATAAAGAAAGATCCCACAGTAATAGCAGTGCAGATTTCTTGAGCTAAGAAAAGTGCATTAAGCTATCCCAAGAAGTCCCAAAGCTCCCAAGTTGTCCAACTACATAGATAAAAGATGTAGGACAAGGAGGATAGAAGACTACTATTTTAAAAATAAAAAATAAATAGAATAAAACTATATAAATCCTAATACTAAGCTAATCAAGAAGAACAAAATCTATTATATCCTTGGAGCCTAAAGAAGGTTTATTACAGTAGAATATATAAAAAGAAGAGAAATAAGAGAATTGCGTAAAGGCTTGAATGATATGAATTACTCATTCACAGCTCTAGTATTTATAGATAAAATGAGCACATGCTCATATTACAAGAAAGGAAATTAAATCAAATCAAAATCAAATCACAACTTATTTTAAAGCATATTCTATGACATATTCTATAGCATAGTCAAATCTCTGCTATTATAGTAAGTCATACCATAAATCGTAGTAACATATATGCTAACATATGTATAGTCAAATCTCTGCTATAATGGTAAGTCATACCATAAATCGTGGTATCATATATGTTAACACTCCCCCTCAAGTTGGTGCGTGGATATCTGAAACGCCTAACTTGGACAATGTATTCTCAAACACAATCTTGTTGACGCCCTTTGTAAAAATGTTTGCAAGCTACTGAGAGCTTGTGACAAATAGAGTGCAAAATTGACCAGAGATGATCTTCTCTCGAATGAAGTGACGGTCCACCTCTATATGCTTAGTCCTGTCATGTTGAACAGGATTTGCTACTATGCTAATGGCAGACTTGTTGTCGCAGTAGAGTGAGAATGGAAGCGACACTGGAAGGCACAAGTCTGTCATCAAGGTTTTCAGCCAAAGCAACTCACCTACCCTAAGAGCCATAGCCCTATACTCTACCTCTGCACTAGATCGAGAGACAACATCCCGCTTCTTACTGCGCCAAGTAACCAAGTTACCACCAATAGTGGTACAATAACCTGAAGTAGACCTCCTATCTGAAATTGATCCTGCATAATCAGCATCTGTCCAAGCCTCAACACGTAAGTGACCATGATTGGCAAACAAAATACCACGGCCTGGACACCCTTTTAAGTAGCGAAGGGTCCGAATAGCTGCATCAAGGTGAGGGGCATGAGGAGAGTGCATGAATTGACTCACGACACTCATGGCATAAGCAATGTCAGGTCGAGTCATGGATAAATAGATGAGCTTCCCCACAAATCGTTGATACTGACCAATATTTGACAACAACTCCCCCTCAGAATCAGTCAACCGATGATTCTGCTCAATCGGAGTATCAGCAGGACGAGCGCCAAGCTGACCAGAAGCAGAAAGCAAGTCAAGAACATACTTACGTTGAGAGATGAAAATGCCAGTCTTGGAGCGAGCCACCTCAATGCCCAAGAAGTACCGTAGGGGACCAAGATCTTTAATCTCAAACTGACGGCCAAGATAGCTCTTAACCTCATCAATTCCGGTAGTATCATCGCCGATAAGAACAATATCATCGACATACACAATGAGAGCAACTGTCTTACCGCTTGAATGACGTAAAAACAAGGTATGATCAACTGCACTTTGATGGAAACCAAACTTGAGCATAGCAGTGTCAAAGCGATCAGACTAAGCTCGAGGAGACTGCTTAAGGCCATACAGAAAACGACGAAGACGACATACCATACCAAAATGAGCAGGAGAACGAAAGCCTGGAGGAGGAACCATGTACACCTCTTCCTGCAAATCACTATTGAGAAAGGCATTCTTGACATCTAACAAAAATAAAGGCCAAGATCAAATTGCAGCAACAGAAAATAATACACGGATGGTATTCATCTTGGCAACAAGGGCAAAGTCTCCTGATAATCTATGCCATAAGTCTGAGCATAACCCTTAGCAGCCAATCGGGCCTTTTAACGAGCAACTGACCCATCTAGATTATGCTTAACTGTAAACACCCAACGACAACCCACAGCCTTTCGTCCAATATGAAGTGGAACCATGTCCCAAGTCTAATTTTTCTCAAGTGCTTGTAGTTCTTCTATCATAGCTTTACGCCGTTGTGGTTATGCTAGTGCATCTGCAACACTAGAAGGAACAAGAACCGAGGCAACAGAAACAAGAAAACTCCGATAGGAGGGTGAGAGAGCATAATCAGAAACAAAATTAGAAATAGGGTAAGTACAAGAACGTTTACCCTTTCGAAGAGCAATGGGGCGATCATCAAACGAAACAATAGCTTGAGAAGGCAGAGCTGGTGCCGAAGGAACAGGGCAGTCGATCGTGGGAGTAGAAGCTTGTACCTGTTGTCTCCGACTATAAACCTATGAAAAAGGAACAATTCCCCCTTGCTGGAGGGGTATCACGAGGAGGAATCGTAGAAGAAGAAACAGGTAATGGTAGAGGAGTTGAAGACGGAAGAAGGTGATCATCCATTATATTCAATGGGAACCATTCACTCTGAGAACCAATTGAACCACTATAGTATGGTGTATGCTCAAAGAAAAAAACATCCATGGATATAAACCGCCGACGACTGGGAGGATGGTAACACCTACAACCTTTTTGAGAGTCAGAATAGCCCAAAAACACACACTTCAAAGCCTTGGGGTCAAGCTTTGTACGAGTCTGCCCCAACTGCTGAACAAAGCACGCACACCCGAAGACTCGCGGAGGAATAAAAAAAAAGAGATGAATTGGGATGTATGATTGAGAGTGGGGCTGCAAAGTTAAGAATCCTAGAAGGATTCCTATTAATGATGTAAACAGCGGTAAGAACTACATCTCCCCAACTTGGGAACATTCATGCCAATGCAGATTGCTCTGGCTAAGTCAAGGATGTAGCGATTCTTTTTCTCAGAATGACCATTCTGTTGAGGAGTTTTAACATTAGCCATCTGATGCTCAATCCCAAATTATGTACATAACCATTGTACCTCCCCATAAGTGTACTCTGTACCCTGGTCAGATCGGAATTTTTTAATGGTACGACCATATTGAGTCTGAACCATTGTCATAAAATTTTTAAAAATAGTGTATACCCAAGTAACACGACTATGATCATCAATGACAAACACGAAATATCAAAATCCAAGACTAGAAGTAACTGGGCAAGGACCCCACACATCTGAATGAACAAGATCAAAAGGTGTTAAAGCAGATTTATTACTACTAGCAGGATAATTGGAACGAATATGTTTAGCCATATGACATGTTTCACGGGATAAATCTGACACTACCACGTTACAAAATAAGGAAGGAAATAAATGTTTCAAATAAGTAAAAGAAATATGTCCTAAACACATGTGCCAACGCATAAGCTGGGCTTTATTAGATGAAATAATATTAGAAAATGAAGCTGAATGTGCTTGAGGTGACAAAGGAGTATCCAACAGGTATAAACCGTCCACTTCACGCCCACTGCCAATCGTCCGTTTCAACACCAGATCCTGAAAAATACAATGAGAGGGCAAGAACGTTACACTACAATTTAATTGTTTGGTAACGCTACTAACAGAAATAAGATTTGTAGTCGACTTTGGAACATGAAGTGTATTTGACAAAGTTAATGAAGTAGTAACTGATATGTGACCCTTCCCAGCAATGGAAGATGGAGAACCATCCGCAAGGCGGACCTTGCAGATACTATATTGGAAGAGTGAGGATATACCAGTCATATTGTCTGAAGCACCAGAATCAATGATCCATGGTGTTGAAGATGTAGATACGTTATGTGCAGACGCAATAGTACCTGAGTGGGCATAAGTGGAGGTTGGTTGAGATGATGCCTCCATTTGGTTGAAGAATTGCTTGAACTTGTCCAAATCAGCTTGAGTCAAGGTAACTGTGGCAGAAGATGTAGAGGTAGGGTTGTCCGGAGTTGACAACGAGACTGGTTGTGTAACAGAATGTGCAGAGGATCGAGGCTGTTATTTCTGTTACGGTGGACGTCCATGTAGAGCATAACAACGAGATTTGATGTGACCAATTTTTTCGTAATGGTCACACCGTCCATGTTGTCGTCCCAGAGGAGGACCGGTGGTAGTGCTCTGAACTGACTGGGATGGTGAAGTTCCTGAAAGGTTGGGAACCCGAACTGCCATAGCAGAACGATCAACAGAAGCAACACCTAATGGATGAGTCCGGCAGCTCTCATCTGACAACACATAGGAGTATGCATCCTCAAGAATAGGGAATAAAGATAAGCCCAATAAATGAACACGAGCATACTCAAACTCGTCGTTCAACCCGGCAAGAAACTGAAACACTCGATTCTTCTTCACAATTCCTGCATATAAAACTGCATCATCTGGATCCTTCCAAGAGTGGAAGGAATCATAATATGGCATCTCCTCCTAAATAGCACGAAGCTTGGTGATGTAACCTGAAACTGTCAAGTCACCCTGAGAAATCCTGGTGATATCTCGCCCCAGCTGGAAAATTTGTGCATTATTTTGCCTCTGAGAATAAGTGCGTTGAACTGAATCCCAAATCTGCTTAGCAATCTTCATAAACATATAGCCAACAGCTATGTTTGGTTGCATCGAATTGACTAGCCAAGACATAACCATAGCGTTATCTGCAAACCATTGTGGATATGCCTCCGCTGACTCAGCTGGCTCTTTCTCAGAACCAGTAATATAGCCAATCTTGCCTTTGCCACCAATGAACATCTTGGCAGACTGTGCCCAAATCAAATAGTTGGAACCATCCAACTTCACTGTTTTGAAGTCCTGGATTTTCTGATGAGTTGGTGGGAAAAATGGCACCACCACCCACAAAACGTGAGCCAAGAGAATTAACAGTCGAGGACCCTGACTCTGCCATAATCTATCACACGACAATAAAAAAAACTCCAAAAACACCACGAATTCTGTTAATAAATCAAAAGGTCTCCTTAGACAATAAACAATAACAATGTCTCCTCAGACCATTCCCGAAAAATCCAAATACATACCTTTTTTAAGGAATGCTGCCCGCTTACATATAGCCAAACAACCTCCTCCTTAATATCCGAAACCTCTTTCTAGACTAATTTTTTTTTTTTTACCCGAGCCCTTCTAGGTGTGGGAAACCAACTATCCCAATTTACCCAACCCTAGAAGAGTGAAAAATAAATTGTAAAACTGAAAAATACCTGTTTTCGATCACAAAACAGCAACACAAAAAAACATGTGTAGCCAACGTCACACGATGTCACAAACAGCCTAAGGTAGCTGTCGCACAAGTAGCAAGGCTGCTGAAAGGTGTGGAAAGGTGTTGACTCTGATACCAAGTAGAAATATATAAAAAGAAGAGAAAAGTTAGAATTGCGTAAAGACTTGAATGATATGAATTACTCATTCACAGCTCTAGTATTTATAGATAAAATGAGCAGATGCTCATATTACAAGAAAGGAAACTAAATCAAATCAAAATCAAATCACAACTTATTCTAAAACATATTCTATAGCATAGTCAAATCTTTGCTATTATGGTAAGTCATACCATAAATCGTGGTATCATATATGCTAACAATTACACACTCACTTCTTAGGAAACATGGATAAGACCAGTCAATAGAAATACTCCAACACTATGAGCTATTCTAGTAGTTGTTTGGATCTGAAGGGCGGGGAAGCAAGACAGAAATTAATCCTCTTAGTTGGCCTCTTTAGAATTTGTATTCCATATTCACTTGAATACAATGGCGCAAAATGGAATTATATTCCAAGTTCAATTCATAGGATTTGTAGGTGCTGCAAAAAGACTATCTGAATTACCTTCTTTCCTCAAAGTTGACGGTTATACTTGATAATCAGTAACTCATCAAACAGTGGCAAATAGGCTACTCTTTGCAGACGTATGTATACATTACTGTAAGGATAATGACTAAAATGTCAATCAAAATGGACATTAGTAGTAAAGCATTTTCTTTGGTAAATGCTCAACTTAATCTGACAATCCTATAAACACAACTATGATGGCTGTCAAAACATTTGAGCAAACATAAGCAATAGAGCTGTAAGTTACTAAGTTGCATAGACACTAGCATGGCCACCTAGTCAATCGCAAATATAAATGTCTCACATGTAAGTTGTCTTCCATTGTTGCATTGCCCTATAATGCAACAATGATATGATCCATTTCAGTTCCTTTCCGCTGAAAAAACATGCAATTTTTTTTTGTTTAATCTCTAGAGAGAAACAGCATATAACATTTTTTTTCTTCAAGAGAGGTAGCCTAATTTCATGTGTACAATAAAATCCTTGAAGAAACTCTGCACGGTAAAAATTATTCAAAAAGTTTCTGCACATAATAATTACAAAGAAAACATGACTTCTTTCATTATCAAGCATGAATGATGAAATAAGGTTGAGGTATGAACATCTAACAATTCCATTCTTCAACTTAAATTAGATACTTAACATATAAACATTTTAACATCAACTGCTAGCTCTGAAGATAATTTGAATTATCATAATTCTTTTGCTTAACAAGGAAACACTAACAGAAGGGTGTCCATAAATTATAGGGAAAACTACACATAGATAGAGTTGGTAGTCCTAAATAACAAATTGATCTATTTTAAAGTTGATTTTTCACTTTGATTGAATTAAGAAAAATAGTTACAAATGCATCAAGAACTATTGTTGAGGTCCAAAATGTCTTCTAAGCTCTTATTCCAAAAACACCAAAACTTCCTTTTTTAAATTATAGAACTTTATAATATTGAAATAGATAATTGAGAACTAATTTGACTAGCAACAAAGTATTAGATATTTGATGAGATTAAATGAATCCGTAACTAAAGTACCTCGTCCTATCATTTAATTAAAATTGCTCAAGAATGTGATGCATTTAAGATTTTTATTCAAAAAAGTAATGATAGCTCATCTTTTACTTCTACAGAGATGATGTAGAACAACTTGCTCACCATTATCTGAGCATACAGGATCATTGCAAATCAGGGAGGCAGAAAAGGTAAGGAGTATAGAAGAAAAAAATAACCCTCAGGTTTAGCCAAATATCACCCTCAAACATCTTTCGAAAATAACTATCACTTAGGTCCATTTTCACTTATCCGTCACAATTTTTGTTAAAAATATGTAAAAGACAATTATGTCCCTAAATACTCTTTGACTTGGTCAAAAGTGCTTTATATATATATTTATAGATATGTATGTATCTATATATATATATATATATATATATATATATATATACATACATACACACCACCACCAAATTAGTGAGAGTAGCGAATTTAGATTGACGTCAATCCTAATTCAAGGTTCAAGATTCGTCGACCAGGGGAAGCTAGGATTCATTGAAAAGGAAGGTGTCATTTATTAAGGAAAGCTGACGATGAGGAAGCTGGGATTCACTGAAAAGGAAGGTGTCATTTATTAAGGAAATCTGACGATGAGCAGGTTTCAGTAGATCAATTCAATTGCCAGTTCCATGTATCTCCACCAGTTGTGCCATATCTCTGTTGTTATGTCACCGAAAAATCTGACCCATATATCTCCCACCGCAAGTTATGCGTCGCCGTAATCGGCGGCCCCGCCAGTTCCTTCGTGACTACGACCCTCGCCGCCAACGAAATCTGGACTTTCCTCTTCGAGACTCGAGTGCAGCCCCGTCGGCGCCATACCTCACTCCATGCTCGACGAGTTCTCCATCCCGCCGGAGCTCATTGACCAGAAAGTGACCCACCATGGATATCTTACTCTAAACCCTTTCCTAGCATCAATCTGGTATTCTTTACAATTCCAACACAAGGCGCTCGATCTTATGCTTGAAACTCTTCCCCAGTTCATTAGTCGACCCCGTAGTATAGGCTTTGATTCAGACCCTTATGCCATTTACGATACAGGGAACATGATCTTGTATATATATGTGTGTGTGTGTCTGTGTATATATATGTATCTGTATATATATATATATATATAATTTGTAAATTTACAATAAATTGAGGGATATTTTAGTCTTTTAATATAATTATTTATGTTAAATAGTTGTTTTGACAAAATTAAAGGGTATTTAAGTCATTTTACATCTTGTCATAACTATTCAACTAACGGTTGGGGTGTGAGTGAAAAACGGAACAAAAGTTTGTAATGTGAGTGATACTTATTTTCGAAAGATGTTTGAAGGTGATATTTGGCCAAACCTGAGAGGGTATCAGTGAAATTAACCCAAACAATAAATAATTAAGGAAAAGTTAAAAGGAGATTTGGTATAGTTGCCAACAATAGAAGATATTATTCTCCATTGCAAGAATTAAGGAGGATTCAGAAAATAAATAAGAAGACTTGGTGTAGTTTCCAACAATAGAAGATATTATTCTCCATTGCAAGATTTAAGGAGGATTCTACTCCATCAAATCTCAAATTTCCCCTTTAATATTATTTCAAGCATGCTTTCTTTTTTCTTTTTTTTTTTTGACTTGCCTATATAAAGGCATGAGATGTAAGTCTACAACATCATCATTATCAATATAATTTCAATTTCTTTCTTGTGAGTGTGTTCTTTGTGAATTCAAGGGTTAAACTCTTTTCTTTATCGTTTCCACTACGTTGTATCAGAGCAAGATTCTGAATCCAAGATTCGCCTTTGTTTTCGATGGCCGGTTCACGAGATCGAAGCAACCCCTCCAGCGACGGTGATCGTGATGGAGTAGCTCTTTTGAGGGCTGAGTTTACTGATTTCCAGACCAACGTTAATCGAACCTTACTTGATATGCACGAAACTATGCGTCAAGTATTGGCGAGATTGACAATGGTAGAACTTAACCGCGAGAACAACAGGCTGCCCAACGACGGTGATCGTGGACGTCCGAATAGGCTGGTAATCGCAACACAAACCCACCGAATAGGCAACCAACCTATGAGGAAAATGTCAATTTTGGTAACAACCGAGCCGTACAGGTGTTTAGAGATAATCGAGGTCGATGGGAAATTGATGAAGCTGAACGTTGAATGTTTCTTTGACCATATGAAAATCCAGGAGGAGAAGCAAGTCAAATTCGTGGCCTATAAGTTAAAAGGTGGCGCATCAGCATGGTGGGATCAAGTGCAAACTACCCGCGCACATGAGGGTAAAGATCCGGTACGTACATAGGTTAAGATGAAGAAATTGATGAAAGCTCGATTTTTACCCCCTAATTATGAACAGGTTCTTTATCAGAAATATCAGTCCTGCACGTAGGGAAGTAGAACGATTGTTGAATATGCTGAAGAATTTTATCGGTTGTCATTCCGTAACAACCTAGTGGAACCCGAATTTAGCATGGTGACCCGTTTCAAAGGCGGGTTACAATGGGATATTGAAGAGAAAATGGCGCTGCAACCGTTATTCAAACTGTCTAAGATTGTCATGGCGGTAGAGAGAGCAAAATCATTACTGGAGAAGTCGAAGAATCGGTCTCGTGGTTCATATAATACCCCTCGTCCTACACGTGACATGGGTAAACAGACCGCGGTAGCCTTGTTCCAATGACATGGCGAGGCATTGGAGATGGTCCAACAAAGGCCAAACCCGCAGCACCCATAGGCCCTGTTGGAAGGGGAGCCCCAGTTGTGAGAGAAAATCCCTATGCACACCCAAGTATGGGCAAGTGTATGAGGAGAACCTGGCCATAAATCTATAAATCCAACAATTGCACCAAGCAACCGACAGCAAATTTGGTCAAGCATGAGGAAGGCGAGGGTAAGGAAGGTGAGTTCCTAACCTTTGAAGAAGAAGAGGTGACTGAAGGAGACAATGGTGAGTTGTTGTCCCACTCTTTAGTCGTAAGGAGGTTGATGTTCACGCTAAAGAAGGAAGAGCACCCGCAACGTCATAATATGTTCCGTACACGTTGCACTATCAACCATAAGGTATGTGACGTTATTATTGATAGCGGTAGTAGTGAGAACATTGTTTCCTTAACAATGGTTTGAAAATTGGGGCTTAAAACAGAGAAACATCTCCATCCATACAAAATTGGATGGATCAACTGAAACCTGCACCGTCCCATTCTCAATTGGGAAAGCATATGCATAGGAGGTGCATTGTGATGTAGTCAACATGGATGCATGCCATATGATATTGGGCAGACCATGGCAATTTGATGTCGAAGCCACTCACCGTGGTAGAGACAATGTG